AAAAAAAAAAAAAAAAAAAAGAATAAATGCTAAAACAAGAGTGGAGGCTGTTTTAGAGCAAGAGTGTCTTAGGCAGAAAAAGCGAAGGGAACAGTATCTGCAAAAGCCTGAATACATCCATATTACAAACAAAACATGCTGTGCCAGGCTTTCACCTAATGTACGAGATAAGCTCTGGGGAATGGGATTTGACCTGTGACATTGGAATCTAGTAACAAACAATCAATGTGGTAAAGAGCAGCTTTGAGTTACGACTTGACTTACTCAGTGTCACTATGTCGCCGTGGGTAGAGTGCTGTGGTGTCATAGCTCACAGCAACCTCAAACTCTTGGGCTTAAGCGATTCTCTTACCTCAGCCTCCTGAGTAACTGGGACTACGGTTGCCTGCCACAATGCCCAGCTATTTTTTGATTGCAGTTGTCATTGTTGTTAGTAGGCCCAGGCTAGGTTCGAACCCACTAGCTTTGGTATATGTAGCCAGAGCCCTACTCACTGAGCTACAGGTTCCAAGCCAAGTCTTTGAACCATTAAATAATTACAAGTAGCCCAAGGACCCCATTGGTAAAATAAAAACTTAAACTTCAAAGTTTAAAAAGCTGAGTGCAGTGGCTCATGCCTGTAATCATGGCACTTTGGGAGCCAAAGGTGGGAGGACTGCTAGAGGCCAGGAATTGAAGACCAGCCTGAGTAACACAGGGAGACCTTGTCTCTGCAAAAAGAAAAAAAAGAAAGAAAGAAAAATTAGCCAGGTGTGGTGGTGTGTGCCAATAGTCCCAGCTACTGAGGAGTCTGAGACAGGAAGATCACTTAAAGCCAGGAGTAAGAGGTCGCAGTGAGCCATAATGATGCCACTGCACTCTAGGCTGGGCAAGACAGTGAGACCCAGTCTCAAAAAATTTAAACAGAGGCTAAGGCAGAAGGATTGCTTGGACCCAGGAGTTTGAGGTTGCTAGGAGCTAGGCTGATGCTGCAATACTCTAGCCTTAGGCAAGAGAATAAGGTTTTTTTCTCAAAAAAAAAAAAAACAAAAAAAAAAACAAAAGCCCAAGAATCACAACACAAATGGACTTAGAAGGCTAAGCTTAAGCAAGTCCAACACATACCATGTTCTGTGACAATGTATAGGTAAGCACTTCCTCAATGGAAAGCCTAGGTTGCTCTTATTCTCTCAATTGTCAGGGCCTGGGACCTTGCTGGCTCTCAAAAAGTAGCCAGTTGCAAAATGAGAAAGGTAGATGAAATCGTGTCTTCACTGGATCAAAGGGTAAGGAATAAAATGGGATACAAATTTCATTCCTAGCTTCATGCATACCGCTCCATGAAGGTCTAAGAAAACATACCTCCTTTCCTTTTTATTCAGCTGTTTACAACCATATACTCTATTTTGTTCTTACTGGCACTTGCACTGAGACTACAGCAGAAGCATAAATTTAACAGGGCCTAAGTTGGCGGGGTTCCTGCTATGACTTAAAATGAATGGGAAAGATTTTTTAGTTTCGATTTCTTTACCTTTCATTGTTGCATAAACTTGCTCATCATTCTCACCTAAGCCCAACATTATAGATGTTTTAGAAATAACATCAGGATGAACCTCCTTGGCATGTTTTAGTACACGTAGAGACTGGTCAAAATTGGCTCGGGGATCACGAACTTTCCTGGAAAACAGCAGGGCTGTTAGGAAGAATAACAAGTTCAACCAAGTACTTAGTTATGCAAGCAACCTAAAAGAGCTGAACAGCACATTCTGTACATAGTATCATATAGTTTGATGGTAGTATCTGTGGCACAAACACTTTACTCTTACTACCAAACAAAGAAAAAACTTGAACACACATTTCAGAGGACTCAATCTTTAATGTTCATCCTTTTCGAAAGACTAAGCTGCCCTCTGCTGGTGAGCAGGCAATAGTGCCGCCTCTTTGCTAAAGAAATGCGTGATTCTGGAATTTTCACTGGAAAAGATAATGTTTCTTAAGCGAAACCAGGGAAATTGGCACCCACTGGTGGTGGTATCAGGACAGGGTTGGAAAAGGATGTGTGCTAGCATTCAACAATGGCTAAACCACCGTGGCTTAAATGAAGAAAAAGCTGAAAGACCCGAAAGTTGCTGATGATAAGCCAGCATTCATTTGAATTCTAATACAGCTTTATTTTTCAGTAATTGATTTTTTTTTTAAGTCAGAGACTAGTTCACAGGTAAGGAAAGGAAACAAAATTTATGAATTTAAAAACAAGCACACAACTAGGGCAGGGCACAGTGGCCACGCCTATAATCCCAGGACTTGGGAGGTCAAGGCCAGTGGACTACCGGAGCTCACAGGTTCCAGACCAGCCTGAGTCAGAGAGAGACCTCATCTCTAAAAATAGCCAGGCCTTGTGGCAGGCACCTGTAGTTCCAGCTACTCAGGAAGCTGAGGCAAGAGGATCACTTAAGCCCAAGAGTTGGAGGTTGCTGTGAGCTATGACACCGTAGTATTCTACCCAGGGTGACAAAGTGAGTCTCAGAAAAAAAAAAAAATCTCATTGGCATTTGCAGTATAGCATTTTAAAATAAAAGAGGGGGTGGACTCTGTGGCTTATGCCTATAATGCCAGCAATTTGGGAGGCCAAAATGGGGGAATGGCTTTAGGCTATGAGTTCAAGATTAGCTTGAGCAACACAGCAAGACCCCATCTGTAAAAAATTAAAAATTAAAAAAAATCCCATCTGTACAAAAGATAGAAAAATTAGCCAGGCATGGTGGTGTGATGGTGTATGCCTCTAGTCTCAACTACTTTAAAGGTTGAGGCAGGAGGATTGCTTTAGCCCAGAAATATGAGGTTGCAGTAAGCAAGCTACAATCATACCACTGCCCTTATGCCTGGTCAACCAAGTGAGATGCTGTCTCAAAACAAAACAAAACAAAAAACCCACTATAAGTATAATATAAATATAATATAAACCCACTATAATAAGCTCTAAGCATAAGCACTATAGTGTCAGTAACTCATATTACTGGGTGGAAATATTATGAGTGACGTTTATGTTATTTTTGTTGGCTATATTTTCTGATTTTTTGTCGTAGATATATATTGGGTTTGTCTGAAAAAGAAAAGAGTTTAGTTTGCTTTGTAAAGGTCAATTGCAAAGTCCACCCATGGAAAAGGTAAGAATATACAGCACATTCCGACCTCTCTACATGTAATCACCTTTGTAATTCTGGAACTGTTTCTACATTATGTGCATACACATCTAATCCTGACCGAGCAACTTTCTCTACAGCTTTAAGGTCTCCTCGAAAATCAGGCGTGAGACATTCCACTAGGATTTTTGGATTCCTGGGGAGAAAAAAAGAGAAGTATCAAACAGAGAAAGAACTGAGAGAAGTGCTGTTCAAAACGGAAATTATCAGTACTCACCCAGTATCAGCTTCAACACAGTAATCTTCAGAACTTTGCCAAGAAAAACATGAACATGCAAAAGTTCATATACGAACTGTTGTATTAAAAAATATATAAAACTCCGAACAACAGTTTGTACACAGTGGTAAAAATACATCTATAGGCAACTAATAATCAGAATAAAATTTGAGATTATATTCAGTAGACTTTTAAACCAAATTTGAATAGATTTTAGAAAAAAACAGAAGTCAAAATATGAACAAATACAACTTTCTAGTGCAACTCTTTGGAAAGTAAATTGGCACATTTCTTACATCTAAAATATTACTGAGTACTTTAATTTTGCTTTCTTTTAAAATTCATCAAATAGTGCCCTTCTCCCTTCCAGTAGGCAAATAATTCAAAAAAGCTATGGGTTTTAAAAACGATTTTCTGGGCTGCTGAGTCATGAGCTTTGTTTAAATGGAGAACAAGCTAAACATTAATCTTCCTATTTAAGTGTATTATGGCCTTATCTGTTCAGTCAAGCATTATAACATGAACCAGGTCACAGAGCCGCTCCCTTTGACACCAGCAGAAATGCCTGGAACAGCTAACAAACCCAATGGCAAAGGTCTAGAGCTGTTCCCTGAGAGAACACATGTAGAAAAGACCATCGAGACACCCTCTCATGAGCCTAAGAAACGTTCAGAAAATACATTCATACATCCTACGTAACTCGCTGTTTTCTTAAGCTGTAATTTGAGACTCATTGAGGCTTGTGTGATAAATTTAATGGGTTCCACAGATTTTTCAAAAATGAACTATAATAAACGGAAAGTAGAAAATACTGAGGAATCATTAAAACATTTACTAAGTGTTAGATTAGCACTGAGTTGTAGAAAATGAGCACAGCTCCTTTTTTATGCTTTTTAAACGTACGGGATTGACTTGGTGCCTATAGCTCAGTGGCTAGAGTGCCAGCCACATACACCAGAGCTGGCAGGTTCAAATCCAGCCGGAGCCTGCCAAACAATGACAATTACAACCAAAAAAAAATAGCTGGGCGTTGTGACAGGCGCCTGTAGTCCCAGCCACCTGGGAGGCTGAGGCAGGAGACTCGCTTGAGCCCAGGAGTTGGAGGTTGCTGTGAGCTGTGATGCCACAGCACTCTACCCAGGGGGACAGCTTGAGG